CTCTTTTGAATCAGAATGATCTTACTACAATTAAATCTGTCTGGATCACATCCATTTTCTTCAAAAATTATTATCTCACCTCAGTTTCTACATTGAAAACCATGATCATTAAGCAGGATTTCTCTTGAACAATAGCGAAGGTTGCAAACTAATGTCCAAACATGTTTTCAGCAAGGTCTGCTATGGATTTCTACTCCATTCTGTTTTCTGGACTTCCCAAGATGCAATATGTAAAGTAATATAATGCTGTTGCCTAGAGGAAAAAAGGTATTTCATTTCTGCCCTTTCTCTTTCTTTTTACTATTAATGGCAATGGGAATTAGCTGCTGGAAACTCCAGATAAACAGCTCATTAATAGTTCATTGGGTCCAAGATGCAGTCCAGGGACCACAGATGCTCTGTGAGGCTAATATGGATGGTCTGTACTGAATGTCAAAATTAAAACATGCTAAAAAATCTGGTGAGGTAATCAAACCACACATTGCTGGTGATATAGCTTGAGATCCAATAATTTTGGTATTCTTGTGCCAAATCTTTTCATTTTTTCTTGAAGTGTAAGAAGGAGGGAACATAAAAATATAAGTTAAAATGAAAAGCAACTATGATAATTCTATTAACTAATAGGGTATCAAGGTGGCTTTTTTAGAAGTGTCTGAGAAGTTAATGGACATAAAATGTCATGGATGAACTGGGAATAATCTTTGAAAAGGGTAAAGCATAAATACCCTTTTCAGTTCAATCGCATCCTTTGTTCACTAAGCCTGAGATGAGCTAACTTATCACTTTACAATAGTTCTATTGTTACATACTGCCGTTTTATCACTTCTGCATAATGATCAGACAAAAATAGTTAGCTCAAACTTTGTTCTCACTGACATCCAATGTATAAAGCTCTACAGACTCCTCAGCAACATTTTCTTTTCTACTGTTAAATGAACTGAATCTCATTGGGCTTAGTGCTAGGAAAAGAAGATGGAGTAGTATGAACATAAATCAAATGATGAGTCAGCCACATTGTGTAGGCTTCCAAAAGTTTATCTGGAAGTAAATATGTAATGTTCAACTGACTGCAACCCAGATTAAAGTTGAACTGCTTTGGCAGCTGTCACCACTAAGTAATGAGAAGGGATTCAGTTCTTCTAAAGCAAAATTTTAGCATATTAATCTCAATTAAGCTCAAATATTTCTCATTAGAATATACTAGAAATATATAATGGTTGTCTCAGTTCAGCCACATGCTGGTCAGCCAGGCTCATTATATCCGATGCTGTAAATGAAAGCTATCTGAGCATGTTGTAACTAGTATGTCCGCACAACCTAGTTACTCTGAAAAGAACATTCCCTCTAGATGAAGTAGAACTTTCTGCCAATAATATTGTATAACCATTTGGCTCTAACTGAAGAGAAACATGAGGTGATTTCTGCACATAGAAATCTATATATGTAAAGCTTGTTTAAAACTACTTTTGAAGTAACAATATTTGATAGCTGCTGATGCAGCAAATAAAAGCCTAAGGAATATTCTAGGCAATGCAGAATTTTAGATATGCATTATGAACTGACTGATTAAAAACTGGTTTTAATCTCATGTGTGAATATATCTTATGTTAATCGCTCCAGCCATACATCAACAATTGGAGGGCACAGGGATATATGATGCTCTAGCTTTCACTCTAACAGCCCTTTCCTAAAAGATCATCTTAAGAATATGCTGTGATTGATCAGGTTATCCTTTGTGTGCTGTGCTTGTGATCTATAAATACAGTATTGTGAGATAGGATTATATATTCTCAGTTGAATTAATATTTTTTCTATGATATAGTCAATATTTATACTGGATTCTGACAGCAAGATTCAAGTTAGTGAGCTGGTAGCACTGATATATCAGGACACATTCCAAGGACAGAGTTTTTTTCCCCTTTCTATTACATCCTACATTTGATATTTTAAAACTGAGAGGAAAAAAACTTTGCTTACTAATTCAGTGTCAAGGAACATATTGCAATCCAGATGTAAATATTCTGTAAATAAAGGATTTAATGCAACGTACATAAATTTTATATAAATGCAAATTTATCATGCTGGACAACTGAAATCCTTGCTAGATAAGAGTTAGCGCTGTCATTATAAAATGAAAACAGTAAAGTATCTTTATGAAATTTCTCTATGATCCTTGATAAATTTTATTTGTGAAGCAATTAATGTGAGATATTGGTAGTAAAATAAATGTATTTATCAAGTTAACACTTAATTGGGCAGCAATCAACAGGCCTCCATTCTGTCTCATTTTAAAGTTATCAGTAGAGATGCCACCTATCTCAGCAAGGTTACAGGGCGCCACCTAGGGTTATGCAAAAGACCTTGAATTTTTTTCCCTTTAGAGTTAGATTTAAATTTAAGGATTAATATAAATACAATAGATAGCTCTAGTGGAATGCCTTGTCTTCAGAAAAAGGTTTCATGAAATAATGAAAAGTTTGAAGAAACAAATTGTTTTACCAAGTGTCAGGTTCTGGCCAGGTACCAGGCAGTGGTTTCTGATCTATAAACATTGCAAGATTGGGAGCCTCTCAGCACAGGCTTGAGTGCTCAGCAGCAATTTATACCCAGAGTCTTGGAGTATCTCCATTGCTTGAACTCTCCTTACTCATTGGTGTGTTTATTATCTCTGGATCTTCAAAGGACCAGTTAGATTTAGTTGTCTGACACCTAGCATTGGCTGACACTTGGCAAAATAGAAATATGAGTATAGGTCTTTTTATTGTTTCTATGTTATAGCATAGATACCTTAACTAATTTTTATTTGATCAAAAGAAAAGCAACCTCTTAACATTAAGATGTCACAATGGTGAGTTTTACAAGAAATCACAGGTTAAAGTAAAGTAAAAACCGTTCAAATGACCTATCAGACCCTGGAAAGCTTGTTAAGTCAGGTCACAACACAATTTAGCAATTTTAAACTTGTCAGTATTTTCTAAAAGGTTTTTCCCCAAAAGTCATGTTGACTAGTAAGTGTTCACACTGAAGCACATTAATTAACCCTGGTTAGTTTAAGCCTCATTTCAGCAGACATTTTCTACTGTTCCATTACCAGAAAATGAAGAGATAAAATAAGTCATTTGAAGAGGCCAAAACATCCGTAAAGGCCTTTGTTGCTTTGGAGGCAGATCTAGTAGAGGCTTGACAGATTAATACTGTAGGTGAGCAATAAGTAGAGGACAAGGAAGATTGTCCACTGTTGATTGCAAAATACATCAGGTACACCACTAATCATGCACTGCACTGAGTTTCTTCTAAAACAAGTAAAGATAAGCAGGCAAAATGGAACTCCTATTAGCTCAGGTCTATGTTATGTATAGTTCATATGTTTTTTGAATTACCTTGTTGACATATAACTTGAACTGTCTGGTATATAGTAGGATTTCCATTGTTCTCTATATACTAGAACTCCTTAAAGTCCTTTCATTTATCTAAACTCATATGAGAATTGTGCTGCTTTCATGTTTAACAAGAGTAAAAACTGCTATTGTCATGGTTCCAACAGATGAAACTCTTCAAAAGACCTTAAAGAATCTTTTATTCAAGAAACAAAGTATTGGCACTACATAGTTGAAACCAAAAACTAATTTCCCCTCCCCTGGATAGAAAGTAACAAAGCATAATTCCCTTTTCCAATGAACAGTCATAAATCACGTTCCCCAGCCGGCTTTCTCCCCAGCTCTTCAGCCCCCTAAAACTCTATCAACACTGGGCCCAATGACCTTGGGTTCCCCGGCTGAGTTATTATTGTTATGACTAGCTGGAGTCTCATCCACATTCTCCCTCCCAGCATCAACTAACTCTAAAAGCAATAGAGGAAAATGGCTGCATTTCCATCTGTTGTCAAAGCAAGAACATCCGATGTTAGCAGCGTTGACAGCTATACAACCAACTGCTGTTTGTTTGCTCAACAATAAATCCCATCAAATTCAGTGGAACATATTCCCATATGCTTGCCTTTCAGCCTAAGGCTCTGAGGCTAAGTCTTCATGTACCTGAGACTCAGAATAAGCATCATTAAATGCAGTGGAACACACTCCTGAACAAAAATACAATATGTAGTGCTGCTGAACCCACAGCTAAATATTCAGTTCCTTTTGATTTCTCCGAATTTTAATATTCTATGAGTGGAAAGCAATTCATAGCACAGAACCTTCTGTTTCCTAACTCTGCAGCTCCTTAAATTGTTATTCATTTGGTAAATCCTCTGAACATTGTGGGCTGCATCTTATAGGGCTATATGTGATCTTCTGCTTCTGCATCCTGCTCAGTGCATGGCATGAGGATCAAATTCTGCCCTCTCTAATTTGCCAATTAGCAACCTATTCCTGTTTTCCCATTTATTTAAGATCATGCTCTTCGCTGCTTTCAGTGGCTTCAGGCTACATTTCCAGGTAGCACAACGGGGGTAGGTAGCTCTGAAGACTACAAGTTTTATATATTGAATATTTATATATCATAAACAAGCTGATTTTCTTTTCTCTGCCACTCTTACAATCCTATGAAGCAGAGCATAATTTATCTCATTTTACAAACAGGGGATAAAAGGTCTCAAAGGCCAGCTTTCCTGATTCACCTGAAGAATTCATGGTTAAGTTTGGATATGACTCCAAAAATCTACAATGAAACCAAACTCCAGTGAGTATGGATTGGGAAGCTGTCTATCATTGAAGGACTTTTCCAAGGTGATCCGAATATTGCTCAGAGATCTGCTGCAGACTTTACATATGTATTTTCTGGCACATAAATAGTTATCTCAGCATCTTTGCTTATCAACATATGAAACATTGTCAAAGGTTATTAAATAACAAAGTCTTGGTGTTGCCTCAAGAAGATAGGAGGTAAAGAAAACCAAGGAGGTAAAGAAAACCAAGGAGCTGTAGAAAGTCTAGGCAAAAAATGCAAGTGAGAAGAAATTATTTTCTATTTCTAATGCTTTATGTTTTCTCTTTTATTAAAGGAAAGTGTGGACCTGGGAGAGATCATGTTTTCGCTTTGTTACCTGCCAACTGCAGGTCGCCTCACTCTAACAGTCATTAAATGCAGGAATCTCAAAGCAATGGACATAACTGGATACTCAGGTAGGTGCTTCCTTTCTCCGAACAAGGTGGTTGTATTTGATATCTGTGATGTTTCTGTGACACTATTATTCCTTTAAGACTCAAGGGAATGTCCTATATATTACTATATGGATTGATTTGTTTGATTCTGATGAGATTATTCCTGGGTTAATATAAATATTTTCCAGAAATATGCAGAAAATAGTGGTATGCATAAATAGGCTACTTAGTGCTATTTGATTGGAAATCAAATATTTTCCATAAAAGTCTAAGAAAAAAAGACCTGATTTAAATTTTATCATACACACATACACACTTATTAATCAAACAAATTTCCTTAGTGTTATGTCCGAGCCTTGCAAACGGCTCGGGCGTTTGCAGGCAGTCCCGGGCAGGTGCAAAGCTGCCCGGGACCAGACAGGCTGTCGCCAGCGCCATGCGCATGCGCGGGTGCTGGCGCGGGAAAAGTAACACAATTACCCGGGAGTTGCCTATATAAGAGGCTGCGAGCGTTTGGGAAGCCTTGAAGCCATCTACTTGTAAGCTGAACGCAGAATAAAGAAAACTGAGAACTCCAACTGCTTCTCGTGTCTGCTTTGCGCCAAGGACTCAACACTGGCGACGAGGTGGGATTGCCTTACACCGCCTGGAAAGGAAGAAGTGTAAGCTTACCCAAGTGAGTCCTGAGCGGCGGAACGGCGTCGACTCGGCAGCTACCCGCCAATCCAGTGCGCATTCGGGGGTAGGCTGGCTGATAGACCCGTCTCCTGAAGATGGCGAAAATCGGAAGGCTTTCGGAATTCGACGTCTCACATCCAGAGCGGTGGGAGTCATACGTAGCCAGGGTGGAGAACTACTTCAAGGCAAACCAAGTGAGGGAAGAGAGCTTGAAGGCTGCCACCCTGCTTTGTGTTTGCGGTCAAGACGCCTTCAACATCGCAGAAAACCTTGCAGCACCTGTTCCAGTAGAGTCTGTCAGCTACGCAGATCTGAAGAAGCTACTGAAGGAGCACTTCCACCCCAAAATGTCCGTCATCGCATGGCACCATACCTTTGAGCAGAGGGATCAACGGCCCGGCGAGTCGGCCAAAGAATTCATCGCCGCATTACGGAAGGCCGCCAAGCACTGCGAGTTCAAAGACCTCGAAGAACGACTGAGGGACCGATTCGTGTGCGGGTTAAGGCATCGAGATCTACAACAGAGACTTTTCGCTAAAGAAGAATTGTCCTACCAAGATGCCTTAAGGGAAGTCACCGCAGAAGAAGCAGCAGGCGACGCTGTCAAGAACATGCGGCCGATCAGAAACAGTCCAGAGGTTGCATCCGTGCACCAGGAAGACATCCAAAGAAACTCCGAGGAGGATCCGGACAAGGAAGTCGACCGTCTCCACCCCACGAAGGAAGAAAATCAGAAGGGAAGCTCTTCAGCTCCGCTCAAGTGCATCGGCTGTGGAGGTCGCCACAGGAGAACCGACTGCAAGTTCCGCTCCGCTACCTGCCGGGCATGCGGCAAACAAGGACACATTGCAGCTGTGTGTCTGGGCCGACGAAAGGTACAACCTCAGGAAGAACTGCGCCTGAAAGGTACCAGATTCCCCAGCCAGAATAGGGTAGGGTTTTGCGCTTCGCGAAGAAGCATCCTTAGGACAGGCACACACAAGCCCATTAAGAAAAAGCTGTCACTCAAGGTGAAGCTACAAGGGGTTCCATTATCTATGGAACTAGACACAGGGTCTGCCTTTTCAATTATCTCCTTGCATACATTTAGGAAGATTTGTTCCGGTAGTGGAACTCAGACCAAGTTAAGGCCTTCTGACATTGTGTTAACAGATTTTCAAAATTCAAGAGTGTGTGTTAAGGGGGAGGCCACCCTTAACGTGCAATACAAGAGTTTTGAAGGTCCACTAGACTTATTAGTAGTAGGGGTGAACGAACGAGTCTCATAGGACTCGATTGGTTTGAGGCCCTGGGGATACACGTCACAGGACTCAACAGCTTACAAACACTCGACCTACAGGAAGTCTGCAAAGAATTTGCAGATGTTTTCAGCCCCCAGCTGGGCACATTCAAAGGACCCCCTGTGTCCTTAAAGCTAGACCCCACTGTCACTCCCATTAGAATTAAAGCAAGAAGGGTCCCTTTTGCTTTAAAGAGTAAAATTGACACTGAGTTAGACAAACTGATCCAACAGGAATTCTAGAACCTGTTGATTCCAGTCCCTGGGAGACCCCCATTGTCACGCCTCTAAAGGCAAATGGGGACATTCGCATTTGTGCTGATTACAAATGCACTCTGAATAAGGCATTGCAGCAACATGCCTATCCTGTTCCTGTGGTCAGTCACATTCTGGCCTCCCTCAAGGGGGGGCGTGTTTTTGCAAAGCTTGACCTAGCTCAAGTATATCAACAGCTGCCTGTTGATGATGATGCTGCTATAGCTCAGACTATTGTGACCCACAGAGGGGCCTTTAAAGTAAAAAGGCTACAGTTTGGAGTGAATGTCGCTCCTGGGATCTTCCAAAGCGTAATGGAAAACACACTACGAGGTATACCAGGGGTTTGCCCCTACTTTGATGATGTCTTAATTGCAGGAACTCCACACACATTCTAGCTGAAAGGCTAAGGGCTGTTCTGTTAAGATTCAGGAAATCAGGCCTCAAGCTCAAAAAAGACAAATGCAAGATTGGGGTGCCTTCTACTGAATTTCTGGGGTTCAAAATTGATGCTGCTGGGATTCACCCTGCTGAATCCAAACTAACTGCTATTTTAGAAGCACCTAGGCCAAAGTCCAAGGCCGAACTTCAAGCCTTCCTGGGCCTCCTGAATTTCTACAATTCTTTTCTTCCACAAAAAGCTAGTGTAGCTGAGCCTCTTCACAGGCTACTAGACAAGCAAGCAGTGTGGCAGTGGTCACAAACGCATGAGGTTTGTTTTAACAAAGTCAAGGCTTTGCTCACTTCTAACAGTGTACTTGCACATTTCAACGAGTCCCTTCCTGTGTGCATCGCTTGTGATGCGTCCCCTTACGGGGTTGGAGCTGTCCTGAGCCACCTCAGGTCTGATGGAACTCAGGTTCCTGTTGCATATTACTCCAGAACATTGTCTTCTGCTGAGCACAACTACGCTCAGATAGACAGGGAGGCTCTGGCTGTTGTTGCTGGAATTAAAAAATTCCATGACTTTCTATATGGCAGGCACTTCACGGTCTTCACTGACCATAAGCCTCTGCTGGGACTGTTTACCACACGTAAGCAGACTCCCCAAATCATTTCCCCTAGAATGCTTAGGTGGTCTATTTTTTTGTCTGCATATGATTTTTCTTTACTCCACAAGCCTGGAAAAGAAATGGGCCATGCTGATGGCCTCAGTAGATTGCCTCTGCCAGTAGTAGAAGCTGACCCTGCGCCAGCTGTCAACATTCTATCAATCCAAGCCTTGCCTGAGCTCCCTCTTAGTGCCAGGGATGTTGCCGCTGAAACAGGTACAGATCACACACTTTCACGTGTCCGTTCCTGGGTTTTGTCTGGTTGGCCTGAGCACTGCCCTAGTCCTGAGTTTCAGAGTTTCTGGTCCAAAAGGAACGAGCTGTCCCTTTCTCAGGGTTGTCTGCTTTGGGGAAACAGAGTTGTCATTCCCACCTCAATGAGGACTAGGGTCTTAGAATCCCTCCACGAGGGTCATCCTGGCATTGTTCGTATGAAGGCTCTTGCGCGCAGCCTCTTGTGGTGGCCTGGTTTAGATAAAGATATTGAGGCTAAGGTGCATGCATGCCACCTGTGCCAACGATCTCGCCCAGAGATGCCCCAAGCTCCCGTGCATAGTTGGGAGGAAACACAGTCCCCATGGTCTAGGGTGCACATTGACTACGCTGGACCCTTTCAGGGCCAGTTCTTCTTGGTCCTTGTTGACAGCCATTCGAAATGGCTTGAGGTTGTACCTGTCTCATCCACCACCACTGCAAAGACTATTCAGGTACTGAGGGGGATTTTTGCTGCACACGGGCTGCCAGATGTCATTGTGTCCGACAACGGCCCTCAATTCACTTCCTCCGAATTCCAAGCTTTCTTACAGGCAAACATGATTCGTCATGCCACGTCTGCACCCTTCCACCCATCCACCAACGGTATGGCTGAACGTATGGTGCGCATCACAAAGGACGCATTGAAAAGACTCACCTACGGGGACTGGCATCACAGGTTGGCTGACTTTCTCCTTTCTTATCGCACCACACCGTCCACTTCTACAGGGAGAAGCCCAGCTGAACTTCGTTGGGGGCGTCAACTTACTACTAAACTTGACCGGTTGCATCCGGACAGACTGCCTTCATCTACCTCACATCCTAGGGCACCTAGACAACTACTTGTGGGTGCCCCGGTTTGGGCTCGCAATTACGGGCCTGGTCATACATGGGTCCCCGCTTCTATTTCCAGGGTCACAGGCCCTCTCTCCTACGAGGTAGCCCTGGACAACGGTCGTGTCCTGCGTCGGCACATCGACCAACTCCGCCCTAGGCGGGACCTTTCAGATGAGACTCCTGGTTTTTTTCCAGGGGGGGAGGGGGACCCTTTGGAGCAAAGGGAAGGGCACGAGCTGCTGCCCATCTCCACTGATGGAGCCACAAATGGCCCATCCCAGGGTTCCGCGAGAGCTCCGAACAAGAATTCTATGAGCCTACCCAACTACCAGGCATCCACGCCTACTCCAGCCAGGGAGTCACCCCGGGGGCATACTCACTTTCCACACACATCACACAGCACTCCAGTCACGGAGGATACCCGGGGGCATCCCAACAAATCAATTCCCGCAAGAGAGCTGGCACACAATCCCCAAAGTTGGCCTGACCTTACCCCAAATCCTACAGGGGGTCAAACATACAGGGAGGTGGTCGAGGAGCCAAGTCCCGACTACAACACCTCTAGCCCAAATCAGGGAGTTTTGGGAAAGTACAGAAACCCACACAAGCCCGGACACAGAACGAGGTTCAGGGAATGGACAGCCTCCTGACAGGTCTTGGACGGACCT